GAGAGCGAGAAGAAGCACAGGAATAAACGGGGCAGAAGAAAGGGGAGACGTGGTGAGCTGAGCCGGATATGGGAACAAAATCACAATATGTACAAACTCACAAGTATCCATGGGGTGCACGGTGTGCTAGACGCAGGGAAGACGGTAACAGAAGCGAAAAAGATACTGTGGAAACAGCCCGGGGCTTGCTTCTGTCCCGGCCTTCCTCAGTGTCGTCCCTCCAGGCGCCTCCTCTGTCTTGGTCTCCTTCCTCCCCCACCCTCAGAGCCCCTCCTCATGGGCACACATACATCGGCACGGGAACTGCAGCCATGAACTCCCGGACCCCGTTCTCCAGGGCCCCAGAGTCATGCTGTCCCCATCCTTCATCCCCGAAGTTGGAGAATTCCTCTCAGACCAACCACATCTCCACAATAAAACTTAAAGGAAAAGAAATAAAAGCATAAAAGCAGGTTTTTCACAAAACATGGGCTCTGATACAAATTTAGTTGCCATGTTGAAGAGGCTGTCGGGAGAGTCAGACATGAAATAATGAGGGTTTGCACTTTGACGATGGCAGTGTGAATGGGGAGAAAGGGGCCAGGGGAGAGACGCTTTCCCAGTAGAAATGACAGGGAGAGTGTTTGAACGCAAGGAAGACACTAAGATGCCGATGCAGGGAGCCCAGGACACTGACGGCTTCATGAATGGGGATAAGCAGGAGGAGCCACTTTCAAGAAGACCAGGAGAGTGTGTGATGCATTTGGAGTCCTGGGTCTGTGGAGTGCGGGACAAGGCAGGGCGACCCAACGGCAGAGTCAAGGAGGCGACTGGGTTTACGAGACAGGGCACAGCAGGGAAATATGGATCTGGGAACTTCCTGCACAGGGAAACGGAGTTAGCTCCAGAGGAAAAATGTTTTTAAAGATCAAAGAACTAAGTCATGATGAAAGATCGTATTTGAGGGCCCAGAGGAGAAAAGTTCTCCAAAGGAGGCAGAGTGGACGGGGAAGTAGAAAGGAGTGCACGAAAGTGAACTGCAGAAAGAGATCAATAATAAGAGATTTCACTAGTGCCAAAGGCTACAGAGAAGCAAAAAGTAATTGGGGACTGACTTTAAAACAAAAGCAGTGGATTGATCCGTAAGAAGTTCGCATTTCAGTACAGTCACGTGTCACTTAACAACAGGGACACGTTCTGAGAAATGTCCTTAGATGGTTTCATCGTTGTGTGAACGTCCGGGGCACTCACACGGATCTCGGCGGCGTAGCCCACTACACGCCTAGGCCGTGGGGCTCGGCCCGTGCTCCTGGGCTGCAAACCCGTGCAGCACGTTACTGTGCTGAACACTGCGGGCCGCGGCAACAATGGTAAGAATGTGCGTATTTAAACATATCTAAACACAGAAAAGGCACAGTAAAAACATGGTATTATAATCTTATGGGACCCATCATATATCAGTCCATGGCTGACTGATAGGTCGCTATGCAGCGCGTGACTGTAGTGTCAGCGGAAGCAAGTATGGAATGAGGCGTAGTGAGGAACTGGCCGTTGAGCACATGCTCGATGCAATATGGCCATCAAAAAGGAGCACGTCAAGCGGGGCTGGGATTGGGGTACAGTGAGTGGGCACCTCCTTCAATTCTGCACCCTGCTGCCTCACTCACCTCATCCCACTCCCCTCGTCCGGCCCTGCCAAGCGCTTTGTTTGTTTGTTTGTTTTGAATGAGCAGACTTCTATGTCTAAAAAGAGGAGAAAGCAAGAGAAGAGGAAAAGAGAGCAGAGGCTGGAAAGAAAGGCGACAAGCTTCCCAGCAAGATCTCCAGGGACTGGCAAGATGAGTGAGGAAAGAGGAGCCAAGAGGGAGAAACAGGCCCACCCTGACACGAGGACCACCCCGGAGAGACACTGTGCAGACAGACTCAGGGGTGGGAGGTAGGACGCAAGAAGGGGAAATGGAATTTCATGGAGCCAGAAGTGTTGAGAGGTCACTGAGACAGGTTCCCTTTGGCACTTAAGCTCCTTTGTACGACATTCACTCGTACTGGGGCCCATGATAACAGACATAGATTCGGAAGATGCTGGATAAATATGGAGGAAGGAAGAAATGAATGAATGGGTGAAACAGAATGGTGAAAAATTAACCATAGTTTAGTTTAAGTATTTTGTGCTTTGTGCATGAAAGGGTCTGAAAATGGAGTCAGGAACGGGAAGGCCCCTGTGAAGCAAAGGAACCCAACTGCCCATCACCTACCTGCCAATGGAGAGGAGGCACATGAAAGAGATGGCGCTGCCAAAGGCATCAGGGTCAAAATCTCCTCCCAGGATGTCAATCACACGACCAGAATAGTGAGGAATCAACGTCTCACCTGAAAGCAGCACGGAGGATAACAGATGAATGCTGGGGCCAAGGCCCTTCTCCCACCCCAACTCGCAATATCTTCCCCGGACTCACCCAAAACAGCAAGAGTGAGGAAGAAGAAGGCAGCAGTGAGGAAAGGCACGTCTGGCTTGGACAGCTGCAGCAACCTCCACATCAAGGCTTTGCTGTTCTCCTGGCCCTGCTCCCTCCCAGGGGCTCGGGGAGGGCTCAGCACCGCCCACACCGCCCAGCTTAGCCCTGCAGCCCCATACCCCACCAGCAGCCAGCTCCAAGGGGCTGAAGCCACTCTGACAGGGGGTGCACTCAAGGCTCCTGCCACCAGCGCTCTCAGGGAGAGAAACAGGGGGGTCGCCAGGCAGAGCGGGGGCAGCAATGTCCCCAAAAATCCCAGCTGCCCTCCCACCTTCAGCAGCCCCCACAGCCCTCCAAGTCTCAAGGTCCCCTCCAGCCATAGTCCTGGAAGCCCCTGGGGAAGCAGAGTCCCCAGAGTCCCCTGAAGCAACCAGAGTAAGACCCCGTCCACCAGCAGCAGGGAGGCCCAGGGTCTCAGGTCAGGGAGCCACATGGCGCTGCCTATGGGTAGAAGTTGAGAAATTATGGGGGTGGAGTCCCAATCCTTGTTCCCACCCTCCACCGCCTCCCCCCGCCCCCGCTCCTCCCAACCCGTCCACCGTCCCTTGGCTTCTCATTCTGTCCCTCCCTACCCTGAAAGACCCCCTGGGTACTCCGTGGTCATCAGTACATCCCTCCTGTGACAGACGGCTTTCTGCCTGTCCCAGGGAGCTGGGGAGCATGACCATCAGGAGCCTCATACTTAAAACAAAACAAAATTCCCCTGACGTCCCTCCCCGACCCACGCCTGCCGCCGCCGATCTCTAAAGAGCCGAGCAGACCCGGCTCCCCGCCCTTCCAGCGCCGGGGGCCAGAGGCCGGGAGGCGAGTGGGCGGGTTGGGCGGAGTCCCGGCCGGCGCTCCAGGTCCCCATCCGCACGGACTCACCACCCGCGTCGGCCTCGGGGCTCTCGGCCAAGCGCGGAGGACCGAGCTCCGAAATCCACCCCGTCTGCCTCGCCGGCGCGGCCCCTCTGCTGGCCGGCGGCGGGCGAGCGAGGCCGGCGGGCTCCGCTTTCGCTTTCGCTTCCCCGCCCAGGCCCTCGCTCCGGGCGGGCGGCCGGGAGGGGGCGCGCGAGACCCGCGGGCCACCGGACCGGTCCCGGCGCTGGCTCTTGCTGCCCAGGGGAGGCGGCCACTCTGTGACATAACGCTAAGCACACTTTTAATTGTCATTAAGTGCCATAAAGCTGTTTCAAGGATTGAGATATTTGTAATTGGAGAAACGATGGATTTTCTCAAAATTACTACCTCAAGCTCTGAACCTGTTTCAAGAAGCGCTCTTCCCCCATGCAGGCTCCAGTTTGAGGGTCTCGGGGGTGACATCACAGCCAGACCCCCAGCGAGAAACAGGCAGCCGCTCTGACCAGGCCGAAGGGGCTTCCTATGTCCTTCTCAACGGAGCACGGGGAGCAGGCACTTGCTCGGGTGCCCCAGTTTGTGCTCCGAATGATGTGGGCAGCGCCTTCAGCATGTAAGGAAATGCCTGGTACCGGTACCGGGCGTTGTTTCTTGGTCTGCCTTAACCCTGACTAGAACAGTAATCAGGTTTCAAGGGCCCCGTCTCACCCGGAGCCCACCTATGGAGCATGAAGATTTGTTTATTCCAGAAACAACTCTTCAGGTTGAAACTACTTCCCAAACTAAAAAAAGAAAAAAAAAATCCCTGAAGGATCACTTGGATTCCTGGATTCCAAAAAACTCTTTTGATATGTTATTGGAGTGACTACCAATGAGCCACTTGAAGTTTGAAATAGTGGTGGGGGGATTGGAAGTAAGGAATTAAAATTTTTCCAACCCTGTCCATTGTGGGACTTTAAGGATCTCTCCCTAATGAAGAAAGCTCCATGCTCTGCTGCTTCCTTTCAAACCTTTGCATCTTCAACTAACTCTTCTCTGGGAGGTGACGTGGTCCATAGATCCAGCAGGTTCAGAAAATCTCATGATGTCTGCCTCTTTCTCCCAACCTGGGCCTTGTGCTTTTCCTCATATTCCTCACTTCATGGAGTCCTCCTAATCTCCACCTGTTCTTCAGTCATCGTCCTGTCACCTCACAATCCAGCACGACGCATCATGAAGTTGGACCCCTGATGTCTCTCTGTGCATTCAGTATCCAACACCTCTGAAGTGTTACTTGGGGTAAAGGGTGTGGTGTCTACGATTCCAATCCAGTGAGGTGGAGCTTTTCCATCTCACTCTGTAGAGTCAAAAACAGTTGTTCTAGGTGCCCTAGTCCCAGTCACCAAACCGTTAACAATGGACCACACAGGAGACTCCAGGTGTGCCTGTATAGAAAGGACCCTAACCTAAATGAAACTGCAAATAAGTGTCCACAGACAACAATGATCAGCCTTCCTGAGTCCTGCAGAGATGAGCGCAGAAGGAAAACCCAGGAATAAATACTTGGTGAGGCCCCATTTCTTAGGTAGGGGTTTGAGGCCCTTCTCCAGGAAAAGCCCCTCTTGATTTCCTGTCCCCTCCCCCAACAACCACAGCCCCAACCCCACTCAGCCACAACACAGAGACATGTATAACCGTTTTTCTTTATTGTACTTAGAGGGGCACCCAGAAGTTTCCTTGGGAGAAATGCTCCTTGAAATAGAAAACACACAGAAGATGAACTCCTGCAGCCCCCACTGCCAAGGATCTTGTTCTCTCCCTCTGGCCCAGGTTAGGCCTCTCCTCCTCCAGGAGGCTAATCAGGCTGAGGTCCCTGAGTCAGCCAGACCCTCCCAGAGGAGGCTTGCCCAGCCGCCGCCACCTTTACTGATTGGCCTCCCGGTACTGGTGCAGCAGGTCGCTGACGTCTGTACTTTCCACTTTCACCCAGCCATCTTCCTTCATGTGGTACACTGTGGACAAGTGAGAAAAGAGCATGGAGTTACCTTTTATCTCAGTGAGCTCCTGCTAATGGTATTAGTCAAAGGTGCCAACGATACACATGCACATGCTTAAAACACGTGTTACTGGGACTTCAGTGCCCTGCTGACTCTGAAAACCTCCTCCCTGCCACGCTGCCTCCCCTGAATCTCCAATCCTAAGTCACACTCCCTGCCCCTTCCCAGGGGTGGTGGTGGTGGTGGCAGTGCTGATGGTCTCTTACTATTGACAACGCCTCCAGAATAGCTGTCTCTGTGGGTGGCATGAACAATAGCCCTGCGGCCAAGGTCATAGGCCTCTTTGGGGGTAAGATTGGGCCGATAGCCACTGTCCATGACTCCGTAGGCATAAGTGTTCCCACTCCCAGTGGAGAACATATTTCCCGACAGCCGAGTCCCATTTTCATCCACATAGTAGAGTCCAGGACCCTATAAGATAAAAGAAGGTTCCAGGTTGAAATTGAAGAGGGAGTTGTTGAACAAGGTTCAAGTGTGAGTCATAAAAAGTGGACATAAGAATGAATATCACCACAAGAACATTTGAATTAGGACAGCACATTGGTAAAATCACATAACTTTAGAAATCAATAAGAAAACAAGTTTGAAATCAACTATTTTAACAAAGGGGACAATCTTACAAAACACTTACAATATCTGAACAAAGAAATAGCCCATGGGTATACTGGAACAGTCCTCTAACCAAGTGCTCTAGGTGCTGTGTATTTTGCAGGGCAGGAAGTGAAGTGTGCAACAGGGAAACATCTCATCCACGGTAGGGGCATGGGATGGAAAGTACCCACCTTCTTGTCCCAGCCACAGATCATACTGCCCATGGAGAGGCCCATGCCCCGGTACTGGCACATCATGTTGGAGAGCAGCTTGGAGGCTGCCGACACTGAGATACGCTCCCCATTCCGCAGATAGTACAGCCTGGGTGAGGGCATAAGGAAGGCGGGTGAATTAGAGGTGGCAGCAGAAGGTTAGCTCCCTCCCACCGGATGGCACAGGAAATGATTGAAAAAATAAGGAATTCTTTTGTAGGATCTAAAGATCAGAGAAAGATTTAGAATATAAAGTATTTAAAATACACAAAGAAAGCCTAGTAAATGACGCTATCCCACCAGGATTGATGGTGTAGGGGCTAATGACAAATTATCTGGTTTATGCGCAGGAGCACAGGCTGAGATTTGGGAGAAGGTATTTATCCCCAAGAGGCTCTTTTGTGAAATACACTTTTAGCACAAAGATGGGTCCCCTGGGGCAAGGGTGAGCAGCAGTGACCCTGGAGATCCAGGGAGCCGTCCCTCGGCTGAGAGAGGAGATGAGAGGCCTCACGCACCTGCACTCCTTGGCCAGCAGGCGCTCCCAGTACTGGCAGTCTGCTGCACAGCCAGACATGGTGCCAAGCAGGTAAGGGTTAATCTCAATCACCTTGTTCACCAGTAAGGTGGCTGGAAAAAGATGGAGTTTTGACATTGAGGGGATGAAGCCACAGTTCTCCCTGAGTGTCCTAAATCGATATCCCCTTCAGTGCCGGTGCCTAGCTGGGCTCCTGCAGAGAGTAGGGCCTGGCGGCCCACGTGCTGCCTGCTGGAGCACACACTCACCGATGTAATTCCCCGCCGAGGCCCGGGAGTCCACGGCCACAACCACGCCGTGTTGGAACTTGAAGGCCAGGGTGGTGGTGCCGTGGGCCATCTCGATCCGAACGTTCCTTTCTCCGTTCCCACTCAGGGACTGGAAGAATTCAGTGGGCTGGTGAGTGAGAAGAGGTAGAAAAAGGGACAATAAAAACTTCTGTAGCAGGAGGCTCCAGGAAAGGGTTTTCAAGAATATTCCGGCTAAGGAGATAAGCAGAAATTCTCCAACCATAGTAAATGGAACACTGAACAACCAAGCTCTAGGAGGACGTGGCTTGGGAGAAGGAGAAGAAGAGGCGGGGGACACCAACCTTCTCCATTTCCCAGCACAATACAAATGAAAGAAAACAAACGTTACCACAACCGAAAATTTTAATAGCGACTTTCAGGGTTTTCTCCATGCACAGGTCATTCCACCTTCGCAAAACACGTCTTATTAACAGCATCCTCGTTTTGCGCAAGAGGGGCTTGAGACCTAGACCAAGTGGCTTGTTCTAAGTTCCAACAGTGAGTTGCTGAAGCGAAGGAAGCTGCGGAAGTTCATAGGTTTTCCAGCTCTACACAGCCCCTGTGTCATACGACAAGCCCATGAAAAAGGCTACCTGATTTGAGCGTGGGGCGGCAAGGGCGGGAAGGCTCTCTTGTCTTCCCACGGGAGCCCCCACCTCGCCTCCAACTCTTTGCCCTAACCTGCACTTCCTAACACTCGGGGCCCCATCCCCACGTGGCCTCTTCTCAGGGTCGCACCTTCGGGGACCAGGGCTGGCCCCCGCCCGGTTCCCCCAACTCCGCCTCTCGGCATCTCAGGCGGACCCTCCTCTCCTCCAGCCTGCATCCCCGTATCCCCCCCGACCCCCCGGGGTTCCCTTACAGCCCCGACCTGCATTCCGCGGGGGAGGGCGAGCTCCGGAGATCGCATGGAGAAGCTGTAGTGCCCCGGGTCTGAGCCATGCCTGCTTCCCGCACCCGGAAAAGCCCAGTCCGGCCGCTGCCCTCGGGGGGCTCCGCACACGTCCAGTAGCGCCATGCCCGCCTAGCCGGCGCGGATCCGTCGGCTCTCGGAGGAGGAAGTGAAAGCGAAAGCCATGGCCCGAAGGGGGAGGGAACCAGAATTTTTTCCACATCCCCCTGCCCTTTCCAAGAAAAGGACAGTGGCTGTCCGAAGCAGGAGTATCGCAACGGGGACCGGCTTCTCTGCCTTTATGGAGGTCGGGGAAACGCTGGGAAATGAACTGTCCGAAGAACGGACGAAAAGGGGGTGCGCCTTGGAAAGGCCCCTTGGCGGTGGATTACAGTGAGAGACACTGAGGCAGGGCGTCCTCTGGAAAGAGTCAAGGAGTGGGGAGGGTCGTGCCATCTACGGGCGTAGCCTCACCAGGAAGCTGCAAGTCAGCCAGGGGCTGGCAGCGGTTTCAGGTGGGCGGGGGGGGCGTTCGTGAGCATCATCTTATAAAGACATTGGCGGGAAGGAGTACGAGGGGCACTGAGCCCGGAGACCAGGTCCTGGGGCAACCGCAACGGAACATACCCGCGGCGGGCGGGGGAAGGGGCGCCAAGCAGAGGGGACAGTCTCTGAATCTTTCGACGCGGCCCCTCCGGGTTCAACGATCTCCCTAATCCTCAGCCACCACAAGAATGTGTCCTGTCTGCCCCACCCTCCACCCCAGCATCGCTCCTGGCTCGGCTGGGCGACTTTTACTCCTCCAAACCCCGCCTCTCCGTGCGACCTGTGTTGGCCTCGTCTGCCCGGCAACGGTCAACGTCACACAACTGGCCGTGCCCAATGGGAGAGCTCTGCAGCACGATCCGCCCGCTCTGCCGAGACTTCCCCGCAGGTGCCGCTGCGGGGCTCCCCCGAAGGACGGGCGGGGCCGAGCGTGCCGCTCCCTGCACTCGGCAGCCTCGCACTCGCTCCAGCTGCGGCTCCCGCTGCCCTGCTGGTGCCCTGCTGGGCGCTGTGGCGGGGTCTTGCTCTTCCGTGGGGGCGGACGTGGGGGGATGGGGAAGTGGAGAGGAAATCGCAGGAAACAGAAGACTTAGGGGAGATGGTGCACTCAGGGCTGTAAAACAATGCGGCTGCTAAGGGGGAGACGCTCCGCTGCTGAGAAGTGCGCTGCAAAACACAGCACGCAGTCCCTTGGGCCGGGAACACCAGAAACCACGGTACAAAACAACCATTTTATTATAAATATCAAGAATCCACAGGCTATTGATGGGCCAGCTTATGCCTTTGGTCATACTGAAAGTAGCCGATCTTCCCTTTCTGTACATTCTGAATATTTCTCGTCATTTTCTGGGTACCGTCCACGCCGAAGCCTGTCCCTGCCTCTAAACCCTACCACTAAGGGGTTCCAAATGCCCTGGAGAGAAGGCAACCCTGCTCACGGCAAATTTCAGCTAACTCCTAGAGGCAGCTACCTACTCTGCAGCGCTGGTAAGGTCTTTGCTCCCAAGTTCTCCACCACAGAGAGGAGAAAAAAGGAAGATGAAGTCTGAGAGTTTTTCATTCCAGAGCACCCGCAGGGGCCTGCACCATGTCCCAGTAGTGTCCCCGCTTCTCCATGAGCTGCGGGTGGGTGCCCGCCTCACAGATAGCACCTCCTCTCAGGAAGAGGACAAGGTGGGCCTGCTCCACCAGGCTGAGGTTCTGGGTGATGAGAAGCACAGAGCGCGACCGCCACTGGGGGCTTTCGTACAGGAGCTGCTTCACCTGAGAACAGACGTAGACCCTGTCAGTGCCCGGCCACCCCCAACCCAGGGAGACACCTCTGTTTCCAGGGCTGGGACAGGCCTCACAGGATCACTGCTGGCTCTGCCAAGCACCCCAAGGACACCGAAGAATCCTGTTCTGAGAGCTTCCCTGCCAAACCTTTGTTTTCTTACGGACTATTTACACCAGGGGGCAAAAGTGGGATAAAAGTCAGAGTCCTCTGGTGAAACCTGTGAGAGGAGAGTAAAGGGTATTGAACAGTCTTCTCTCTACCCATGGACTGGGAATTTTTATATTAGACTTTAAGGAAATATACGGTGTCGTAAAGAGCGTGAGAACTCCAGTCGGGCGCAGCTGAACTTGGACCCAGGCTGTGCCCTGCAGCAGCTCTGTGGCCTCCACAGGAGCAGGTCATGCAGCCTCTCAGAGCCTGCATTTTGTCAGCGGTAGAAGGCGAATAACAACGCCCAGCTCCCAAGGATTCGTGATGAGTAAATGAGCGAGGCAGACATGCAACGGGCCTGGTAGCATGCCTGGCACACAGCACAAGCTCACGTGATGCTAATGTAACATCATTAGGATGGTCTTTTCCTTATGCTTGGCTTGAGAGATCCAGCGTCTGCAGACAGTCTCCCTTACCTGATTCTAGGTGCCTTGAGGAGAAGCTAACGGGAACTGAGAATTGCAACGACTGCCTCGTATAATTATGATGTCAGTAAATTAAACTAACATGGGATGAATAAAGGAAGCAAGACTGGGCAAGATGTAGACATTAGAAAGGACTCTCTATTGGCCAGGCGCGGTGGCTCACGCCTGTAATCCTAGCACTCTGGGAGGCCGAGGCGGGTGGATCGCTCAAGGTCAGGAGTTCGAGACCAGCCTGAGCAAGAGCAAGACCCTGTCTCTACTAAAAACAGAAAGAAATTATTTGGACAACTAAAAATCTACATAGAAAAAATTAGCCGGGCATGGTGGCACATGTCTGTAGTCCCAGCTACTTGGGAGGCTGAGGCAGTAAGATTGCTTGAGCCCAGGAGTTTGAGGTTGCTGTGAGCTAGGCTGACACCACGACACTCACTCTAGCTAGGGCAACAGAGTGAGACTCTGTCTCGAAAAAAAAAAGGACTCTCTCACCCGTAACTGGCTGTCTGCATCCAGGGCACTGGTGGCATCATCCAGGATGAGGACACGTGGTTTCCGGATCAATGCTCGGGCCAGGGCCACTGCCTGTCGCTGACCCCCTGACAGCTGGCTCCCAGCCTCGCCTACCTCTGCAGAGATAAGAGCCAAGCTGAGCACTGCATGGCCACATGTGCACACACTGGTGCACACACACACACACACACACACACACACACCCCAAGCACCGGCAGATGCAGCTGGACAGGGGAGATTCAGAGAAGGTGAAAGGAGTTCTGAGGATGTGCGGATAAAGCAGCCCTAGGAGCAAGGTCCTACAGCTTCAGATTAGTATCTGTGGGGCAGGAGGCACTGAAGAATAAAGGCAAGACTACTGCGGTTTCATGAAAGCACAGGTGTCTGCGTGGTGACATGAGTGAAGAGAGTACCAGTGTCATAGCCCCGAGGGAGTCCAGAGATGAAACTATGGGCTCCGGACTCCATTGCAGCAGCTTTGATTTCCTCCATAGGTGGTTTCTGGGTCAGGCCATAGGCAATATTTTCTCGAAGACTTCTTCCAAATAGCTGTGGCTCCTGTCCCACTGCAGCCACCTGAGATGAGATATGATGAATAGTCATAAAGCAAGGAACACAGGAGTGTGGTTATCTAGAGACTGAAGACTCAAAATCTTTCCTGAGAGCACATCACAGAATCACATGCCCTCTCCTGACCACACTCCCATCACCACCCAAGCTCTCTTATCCTTCCCTAACCCTCCTTTCAAATACTCAGAGAGAACACTCTTCTTATTTGATACTCCCTACCCTCCCTCATGCCACCTTCTTGCACACCTGGCTGTGCAGGTAGTGGTGCTCATACTGCCAGACGGGCTTCCCATCCAGCAGCACCTGGCCCCCGGTGGGCTGGTACAGATTCTGCAGCAGGGCAGCCACTGTGCTCTTCCCAGACCCATTGGGTCCCACCAGCGCCGTCACCTCGCCAGGACGTAGGGTGAATGTCAGCCCCTGGAGGCCAGGGAATCACACAATGAGAGGCAGACTGAGGCCCCTAAGAGGCCCCTAACATCAAGACTGTCATTGTCATTGTCATGCTACGTTGTATGATGTCTTACCGCCGAAGAAAAATGGGAAGTATGGCAACTCCTACCCTCCCACAAGCACAGATTTCTGGATGACGCCTTCCCAAGGAGTAGAGATGGAAGATGGGGCGAAGGCAAGGGCAAAGACCAAGTACCACCGTGCCACACACTTGATATCAGATACCATCAGGAAATGGGGAAAATCACATTCCAAATCTCAAATGGAAAGCAAAAGGCAAGACGGAAGGCTGGAGACAGATTTTGCTGCAGCAATTCCTTGGAATGTGACAGCCTTCTCTTTGAAACCTCTTCCTCCATTCTTCTTGCAAGCCCAGAGAGGTTCTTGAGTTTGGGAAAGAGGTATGGAACAGATGATGCTTATCATTGCCTTTAAAGGGTTAGGAAGGACCTGTGCTTGCTGTCAAGCAGGCTGAGAGCAGGAGGGAAATTTGGGATGGCAGAAGTGCGGCTGGTGCTGGTGGAATACAGGGACTGGTAGGTTGTACCTGCAGCACTGGGACATCTGGACGGTTTGGGTAGGCAAAGGACACATCTTGGAACTGGACACGGCCCTCCAAGTTTAAGGAAGTCAGCAGACCACGAGGTGGGCAGCGAGGCGTGCGGTCCAGATATTCGAATATTTTCTCTGAGGAGCCCACAGCCTTCTGTACGCAGGGATAGGTGGACAGCAGTACCTGGAGGGAGGTATCGATAGTGACAGGGAAGTAGGGAGACCTAATCTGCTTGCCAGCACGATGTGAAGTCAGAGGGGTAAAGAATGGAAGAAAAGCACACAGAGGGTGCTGGGCCAGGGGTAGGAATGGCACTGGGAGTGACACTGGAGGGACCTCACCTGAACAGCTGTGGTGAATTGGATCTGGTAGAGAACAAATGTGACGAGGTTCCCACTGCTCACAGCCCCGCTGGTCACCAGCTGCCCACCGATGTATAGGATCCCCACCTTCAGCAGCATCCCTGAAATCTACAGAGAGACCACAGAAAACATGGGCTGTGGTAGAGAAATCTGGAGGGGACACAGAGAAACAGAGTCATTAGCATGAAGGAGGTATAAAGTCCCTTTCCTCTGGTAACATCAGCAGGCTTGATGAGTAAAAAGGAGAATGAACCACAGAGAGTCCATGGGGTC